ACCAAGCTCCAGGTGAAAAAAAAAAATCACCTTGGAACTGAGCAAAAATAGAAGATATTTTATCTCAATATACCATGGGGTGGGTTTTTTCCAACAAGCTATAATCTCCCCAAAATACTGGCTGGTAATGAAAGTGTCTTTTCCAGTTGTGAGTTGTACCCTCAGTGTAGCTTCTTTGGCTTGAGCGGACTAAGGCTACCTTACCCCAGCTGAAAATCCGATTCCCCAGCTAGAGCAGTGTGACTGGGTGCTGTTTTCTAATCAAATAACCACTGTGAAATACCTGATTCACTTTGCACCCAACAGCTGTACTTTCAGCCTGTGTTCCCAGTCACACTCTGCAAACAAGCACAATAAGAAAGGCCCAAACAGCTGCAACTTCTCAACAGAAAAAAAAAGAAGAGGGGGAAAAAAAAGCTTGTTGTCAGGCTCCAGCTTAGGAAGGAAGTAAAACCATTTTTCTTTTCCGTCTCATGCATGTCAGCTGTCTTAGAAAAATTATTACTGCTCTGTTTTGTAACAGAAACTCCACAATATTTGGTAAACTACAAACTCCAATCTATTCATGGGCCAAATACAGATTTAACATTTCTGATGCAGCCAAAACATGCTCAGTATGTCAATGGGCTGCAATTACTCTCCAGGAGAGCTTTGGAATTCACCTCCTGGCCCCAATTATCCTCCTTAAAAGAACTCATGAATCTTCTGTATTTGGACCATCCAGATCGATTTGATTTTAGTTTTAGATTTTGGCTGGAAAAAAAACCCAAAACATTTAGTGAAGGAGGCTGTATTTCCTTTCCACTATTAGGGCTTTCCAGAGCTGTTTAAGTGAGTAATTCTATTTAATCAAATTAAATGCACAAGCAGAAAACAACAGGTGACCGACTATTCATTGGTTGGATAAAACACACCTTCTTTTGCATTCTGAATATTACTGGCTTCTCAGATGACTTTTTTAAAATAAGCAAAATACAGGCTATATTCTGAGTTGGGTCATTAGCACAGTTTTGCCATATGCTTCAGGGGAATCACTTGTAAAGGTAGGAACTATTCATTGTGATATGGTGTTAAATAAATCCCATCCCCAGAATCAGGTAGCCATCATCTACTGAAGGAAAAACTTCGTTCTCAGAAAGTACATGATAAACCTTCTGTTGACTTTTGCAGCAGTGCTGTGATGCAGCTGTGTAGAAAAGACAGAAAAATGGATGGAGATGGAAACAGAGTCAGAGATGAGGGGTCAGTAGGAAGGCAGAGAGTGATAAGCAGAATAAAGGGCAAAAGGAGATGGAAAGACTGCAAGAAAAAGTAAAGAAGGAAAAGAAGGAGAATCAAGTGGTTGGATGCTGATCAAGTGGAATCCACCACTTCTCATTTGAATAATTGAATAATCTCCCCAGAGAAGTGGTGGATTCCCCATCATTGGACACTTAAGATTCAACTGGACAGGGTGCTGGGCCATCTTGTCTAGACCGTGCTTTTGCCAAGAAGGTTAGACCAAATGATCCTTGAGGTCCCTTCCAACCTGGTATTCTATGATTCTATGATATAAAGTATAATGGAAGAATATGAGAAACATTTTCAAATAAATTTCTCTCAGGTTGAGTATCAGTAGCTTACTGCTGCACCTAGTGCAGGCTTGAAGCTTCAATTCAATTTAGGTGACACGATAACTATGTTTTAAACATCTTTTTTCTTTCCCCACAATATCTTTCATAACAATTAAAGGAAACCCTAAATGACTACAGCAAAAACGCGAATTAAATGTTCATTACTTCCACCAAGCTGTTTCATATTTGGGCACTTCAGGGTGTGGCTGTCATAGACGGAGGTACTGTAGGACTATTTCTTTTAATCTCATGGATGACTGATAGTGCTGAAATTTATGTCACAAACTAAATTGTCTAAATATGGTAAGGTTTGGTATTTGAAAGAGGATACAAGATGAACTAGATTCACTGGAAGGGCTGAGCTGATTTTCTAATTTTAGAAACCTATAGATGAAAATTTTTTTCTTTTGCTTTTAAATAGTTGGCATGAAAATATGTTTGCAAGATATTAATGCAATATAACCAGTTACAAAACAGGTTCCCTGACAGGTAGAATTTTGCAACTAACTTTTTTCTGAAAGCATACCTATCTCTGGAGGGATATAGTAAATTCTGAATAGATACAAGCTACAAGGAGATTGCACAGGAAAATTCAATATTTGCATGTACAAAGAGGTAAAAATGAGTGCAAATGACTGCGCAAAAGTGAGGTGCGTAAAAAGTGAAAAACTGAGGATTCTTTGCAATACGTTCCAGTAGATTTGTGAATGAAACAAAAAAGAACATCATTACATTTCTTCGCTAAAAAATGTGGGCAATTGTTTGGGGTTATATTTTTGATTAATTAAGTCATTGTTAGATTATCCTGATTTTTTTTAACCCATTTTACTTCACTAATGGTCGTTTAATAGCTCAGTTTTTAATGATCTCCATCTCATTGCATTTAATAGCTATATTTCCATAGAAACACTGCAAATCTGCTTTAGTTGGGCATTTGCTAATGAACATGTTTGAAAGCACTTCCTAGATAACTGTTACTGAAAAAAAAAGAAAGATTTAATGTAAGTGAACATTAAATTCTGCAAAAAGCTGTCTTCTGTATCCTACAGACCTAGTATCCCTTTCAAGATCATTTAAAGACAAAGCAAATACTAACATTTTTATTTGGAGGCATTGTTGTTAAAGGTAGTCAGTATACTTATTCTCCTGCTGATTTCACCAAACCCTCAAAGAAAGAGTTCCTACTTATCACAATATGAACCCAGTGATGACTTCCCCCTGTAGCTCAAGACAATCTAATTCAATGATGAGAATATTTCTGCTAATGGCAATGTGCAATTTACACAATAGCCTTTCTTTTGATCTGTAACTGAACCTGGAATGGGAAATGTATTCTGGAAATATTTTAATTGTTCCTTGAGTCAGGCAAACGTCTGAATGAAGTGTGTGGTGCAGGACTTGAATGAATAATTTAAAGAATGTTACAAATAAAAATAATGCTGCCTTGCTCTTTCCACCAAACCTCCCTAAAAGCTTTGTGAAAGCCCAGAAAAAATGCCGCAAGTAAGACAGTAGTTGTTATTAACTGTATTTTGGAGATAAGGAAATGGCTTCAGAAAGGTTAAACAAATTGCTCATGTTCGCTGTGTGAACCAGTATCTACATTTAAGAGCAGGACATAGGTTGCTCCAGTGCTCAGCGTGTAGCTCTTAGCATTTGCCTTCTCTGCGCTGAAGACAAACTGCAGCTTCAAGTTATCAATCAAGGTCATCATGGGAAGTTCAGGTAAAACTGGCAGGGTTGTCACCAAACACTTTGTTAAATTCCTGTATTTAAGGGGCAAAGAGAAACATGATTTTCTCCAGTTTTTCACTGGTCCTTTGTGGTAAGTCGCTTTGGCCTCCCTCCCTGGAGGACCATTACGGATTTTGCATTATGGGGCAGGTTCTGTGTCCAGTCTGTGCAGAAGACAGAAGTGGAGCTATAGGATTCCCTCTGTCCAAAAAGGGTGCCAATAGTGGGTTAACAAATAATGGGGACAACACGTAATCCTACTTAGTATATGTAGCAAGGATAGAGAATGAGGAGAAGGCAGAGAAGAAAAGAAAGGCTTGCTAATTAATCTTATCTGATGACTTACACCACACAAAGATTTTTATCAAAAAGTGCAAGTGCCCAAGTGTTTTCTAATGGAAGGTTGTGGGAAATGGGAAAGCTGGAAGGGCACAGCAACTCGTGACGGCAAATCTCACCAGGTTTCAGTTCATGATGGTTGGGGGACAACACCATTGATAACTCTCTGCAGCCTACAGAGCAAGAAGGGCCAAAGGCTGCCAATTCTTCAGGAAGCCCACGAGAAGACAAATAATACTGGCAGAGTAAAAAGACACAGGTCCTTGGGTGTAAGAGGGATCCAGGCTGAGATGCACATCCAGGCTGGACCCTGTGGCAGCTAGAGAAGTCAAGCTCTCCAAGGTGGTCATTGCAGGATGACAGTGCTTGAAATAAAATGGGTGAGTAAAGGAACCCCTTGGTGCTTTCAAAGTATTTTGTCTTCTGATGCTTGATTTTGACTGCCAAGTTTTTAAAAGGTTGTTGGCCCTATGGGTTTGATTTATGTTGTTAGTCACTCACAAAGAAGTCATGTAGTGTAATCTACCTGTCTAGATTAGTTATGTACTCAGTGGACAGACTTCTCAGGAGGATGATTTACTACTTATTATGGAAAACCTGATTTAGGACAGGAAGAATTACTGTCCAAAAGAACAGAGTGGGAAGAGAATGAGCAAGAGCCTGAAAATCTAAGATGCACTTAGAGAAACTTGAAAGTAGGTGGAGGAGGAGCTAATCTCAATTCTACAGCTGTGAGTCATAGGCTATGGTTACATTAGCAAGTAATTTGGTGCCAGAGGAGTGCATCAGTATATAGAAACAACTAATGCTCAGGGTCCTTCTTCTATGCTGTAAGATGTCCCAGAATTTTCCTTTGAACTAGGTTTAATCTGATCTTCTAGACCAAATGACCATATGAAGCGTATATCAGAAGCTGTTTGAAGAATCAATCACTGTTTTGGACCTTCCTGCCCCAGCTGGGGTTGGAGCATATTTGATGTGTATCCAAGACTGAGCTTTCAGTTTAGTTTCCTTTGAAAGAAATCTAGTTTGTATGGACCAAAACTGCTCTGTGAACTGAGCCAGCTGGACTAAGTGGAGATCATGGTGGAATTTACTCCACAACCATTGCTCCAAACCACAAAGCCCATATAAACACTTAAATGCTGAATGCTCTATTAGGCGCTTTGTTTATGTTCCAGACACTCTATTTTACTCAGCAATTTCAATTTTCTAACGCCCTGTTAAACTGGGGTAACACTGCTCCTCATTTTTCACAGTCCTGCTAAACTCCGGCATGTTTTTTTAGTGTGAAGGTGTGATAGTGATACTTACCTGCATGAAGCGGCCCTCCGAAGTTCCCAAATTAGCAACGGTAAGGTTCCCTTTGGTGAAGACAGATATCGAAGTCAACAGGACACTGTTGAACTGGCCCATGAACAAGTCAACCCTCTGCAAAGGAGTCGTAACTTCTAAGCGATATTCATCATCTTGTGCTCTGCAGTATGAAGCATTTCTTGAAAAAGCCTGTTAGAAAATGAAGTACAGATGAGTACGGTCTTTACGAGTACGAATAGATCTTTGTCAGAGTGAAGTCATTTAGCACAAATGCATTTGACCAAAAGTATTTTAAAATGTTTCAAACTTAATTGCTTCATCAGTTATGATGTTCCATGAGGAAGGCAACGACTTCTTAATGTTACGGGAATGTTTCTTTTAACTTTTTTTTTATCCTGTCTGTTGGGAGTAAGACATAGGGTCTTTATTTAACCAGATGATATATGTAGAAGCACATATATCGAGGGTTCCTTTCTCTTAGAGACTTCCATAACGCTGCTTCTCCAAGGATCTCAGAATTCCTTGACTGCAAAGCCTGCCCAGCAACACACCTGCTTCTAAAACAGTGATTCCTAGAAAGTGATTGTCTAAAAATGTTGCATTTTTTAACCTTTTTTTTCATTAAAATAACTATTTCCAGTATTCTTCTCTTTCTATTCTTTTTTCCACACCTTTTTCAGTGATAAGACAGAAAAGTGGAGAAAAAAATGGAGAAAGAGAAAAGGGAGATATGCCAAGAAAAATATGTTTCTGATTGTGTATTTAAATGAAATGATGGGGATGCCAGATTTTTATAATTGCTTAGGCTTTTATATTGATCATTTATGTCTCATGCACTGTTTCGTCCAATCTCTATATGTCTTGAGTGTGCTATAATAGTTGCTGCATTTGCAAGATTTTCTCTTTCAGTTTGGGAATGGAGATTACATGTTTTTAATTTTCTTTGGAAAAATTCTTGAACAATACACTTTAAGTTATCTCCAGAGAAGAATATAACCTGCTGTCCTCACAATTCAATAGTAATCTATTAACTGATAATTCCATTACTATTGATACTACATCATCTGTTTTGGTGAGATCGTACAGATAATAACCAGGAACCCCCAAAAGGATCTCTAACCAGTTTAAATTTTGAAGTCATCTAGCATGTTCCCACTGTGACATACTTTATGAATAAACATGTAGGGAGATTATAAAGGATCTTATGGTGGTTCCCTCTGTTTAAATCAATAGAGAGCTTTGTGTTTCCTAATTTTTTTATTGATTTGTTGTTCTTACAAATATGTTTTAAATTTTTTTTCAAAAAGCTTGAATTAAACCTTTTAAAGACAGTCAGAATCTTTCCACTAAATTCAATAGATCTGGAGCATAGCTTTAACGAACAAGCGGGAGTTGAATTTTATTTTCTTATTTTCTTGATTCAGATGGTTTTCCTTCTACTACCTGTAATCAAAGTCCTATGAGAAAGCAAGCAATGAACCAAGAGTTTGTGGCTGGCTTAACTCTGGTAAACACTGGAGAAAAAAACAAGGCATTGAAAATGCTATTCGCAAAATGTTCAACCTAATAGCTCAGTCCTTTGCTGCGGAATTGTAACGTTTTTGAACTGTGCACAGCAACAGCGCTGGTGGGTGAAGCTTTCTATGATCCCTAGGAGTTGCAGTCAACTGTGGAGCCAACTTTTCCCCGGGTGCACCGGCAATTTACTGTATCTTTTAGGTAAAAACCCATGTAAGACCAAACAAGAGGAAGTGAAATCTCTGTGCACTGCCTAATGATATGGAAAGAAGGCTTCCAGATTAGATCTGATACAGCAGTGACTTAACAGTTTGGTTATCCACATGCTAAAGTGTTTGCTGTATTG